TTGTAAAGTGTGGTGTATTTGACACTAGCTGCAGGCAAAGTGTGCTGGGTGGTGCCCATTTTTGACAGATCAACTTTACCCTTTAATAAGATGAATCCCCAGTGGTGAAACCAGGATGGAAACCTTTTGTGTGAACCTGAATCTATCAAAAATTTCTGTTCCAAACAAAGCTAATTTAATTCCCATAATGGATGGAGAAAGGTTTCATGATGTCTCAATATTGGAACACAGGAATGGAGGAATATGATGACAAGGTGTTACTGATGAATGAAATATGGACTGAGTTAATGCATAATAGCCTTTAGCTCTTTCCAAAAAAAAACCCCAAGAATTCTTATTTGCACAGCACCTTCTTATGTTCAGTTTCAAAGTTTGAAAAATAATTTGCAATAGCGTACATTTCAGAAACCAGGTGCCCAGTAAATGAGACAGCACTGGTTTTGAGCAGAGATGATATGATTTAATGGCTAAGATCATTCACCTCTTCTACCACCATCCCTCCTCTTGCTCATCTCACCTCATAGTCTTGTCAGGGCCTGGCAACATCGAATTGGGCAGTACATTTGAGGTTGCTTTGACTGTTGCTTTTCTGCTTCTTCCTATGGGAGGTGTCAGCTGGTTTGCCCATCCCTGTGCCAACTGACACCAATTTATGGTCACACAAGGGTCTCCTTCCACCACAACTAGAATTTTAACAAGGCCTGGGGTGCTTCTACCGACTAATTACCTTTTATTATCCATCGCCAGTGACAATCATCCACTGGGTACTTGTTGCAGTATTACTGGATGTGGACGACTGTTTGCCATTTGGCTCCAGATGGGTTGAAAATTTCTTGTCATGATCCAATTTACCACCTGATATCTGTACAATCAGTTCAAGGCTTCCTGGCCTCCAGGATGCGTGGTTACCATCAGCATGTTAGTTGGAGTTGGGTGGCTCCATGTAAAGTTCCAAGCAATTTCCATTCCTCTCTCCTCTCTCTCTCTGCTCCTGATGGTGAATAAATGGCTCTGTAATCACTCGCACATCTTTCAATTCCAAAGTCAATTCGCGTGCAGTGATTTATTTTGAGCTGGTGGTGAATTGACTGTTGAGCAGGCCTAATGTGACATCCATTTGTGCAAAGAGTGACATTACAAGCAGTAATTGAGTTAAAGAGACGAGTGAATACATCCTGGTTGTGTTTGAGTGCGTAATATTGAATTGGAGCCCAGGGAACTCCCTATTCTTCAAATAGCACCATTGTAGCTTAATGTCAATAAAAGCCAGTTGAACAGGCTGGACTATGGTTTAATGTTATCTAAAGCATTGGCACCTCTAGTGACGTGGCCCTGTCACTGACTTGCTTGTATACTGTTCCGGCCATGCGAATGTAAAAAAAAAAATGCACTTTTACGGCTCCAACATCTCAACAAATTATCAACCTGGCTACCAGTCAATGTTCACACACAACTAAAAATTAGCAATTATCTCCTTTTTAAATCTTCTTTTCAGTCAGAAGCAGGGGATAACCCAATCGATTTTAAGAAAGCATTTTGAATGCTACCAAATGTCAATTTTCAACCAATCATCTGGTTGCTAAATGTGCTGACAATGTAAAGATTGGTAGGAAATTAAGTTGTGAAGAGGACACGAGGCTACAAAGGGAAATATGTAGGTTAAGTGAGTGAGCAAAGATCTGGCAAATGGAGCTTGTCGTAGGCAAATATATGATTGTCTCTTTAGGCAAGAATAAAAAGCCTACGATTTAATGATGACAGATTGGAGAGCTCTGAGATGTAAAAGGATCTGGGTACCCTTTTGCATATATTGTAAAAGGGTTAGTATGCAAGTACAATAAGGATAATGAATGACTTATTTATTGTCACTTGCATTTTACAGCAAATAATACAGTAAAATACAGTGAAAAGCTTCAATAGTTGCCACAATCCAGTGACATTTTGAATAGTTAATATTAAAAGGATAAAAGGTAAAACTGAACGGAAGTCCTGAGCTGGTTCACCAATGACCCTGCACCACTACCACTCCTCTGCCTGTGCCTTATCCATCAATGTAGAGTTGCTGATCTTTAGGCACCATCTCTTTGTCACTGGGCCCTCAAGAAAATAATCAGGAAAGCTAATAGAATGTTTACATCAATTGGAAGTATTGGATTGCAAAGAATTGAATACAAAAGTATGAAGGTTATGCTTCAGTTATTAACCCTAACTTAATTAAGTCATTAAGTTAAAGGCATTGCTGAAACCAAATTTGGAGTAATATATGCAGTATTGATCTCTTTATTTAAGGAATTATGTACATACATTGGAAAGGTTCAGAAGGTTTACTAGATTAGACCCAGAATGGGTGGGTTTTTTACGAGGAAAAGGCTAGGTTTGTATCTGCTGGGGTTTGGAAAAGTAGTCAGTGATTTCATTGAAATGTGAATTCCAGAGGGAACTTAGAGTCAATGTGAAGAGGGTGTTACCTCTTATGGAAGAATCTAGAACTAGGGGTCACTGCTTAAAATTCAGGGGTCACCCATTTAAGAAAGCTGAGGATTTACTTTGAGGCTTGTGGTTCTTTGTCTTTTGAGGAAGAGGATTCCAATGGAAGTTGCTGTTTGAAGATTTTTAATGGAAAAGTAGGCAGACGCTTGTAAGCAAGTTGGGAGTGTGCTGTAATTGGATCTGCTGTAATAACAATGGTGGAGCCGGTTTGAAAGGCTGAAAGGCCTTTTGCTCCTAATTTGAACGTTTGTGTTTATTTATAAAGTTGAAAGAACCACTGAGGTTTTATGGTGCAGAAGGACACCATTTGGCCCATCATGGTTGTGCTAGATCTTTCAGGAAAGGATGTTTGTCCAGCCTGCTTTAACCCCAGTGCTGGGTTTAGAGTTGCTGAGAGGGAATTGGAGAAGTTCTTTGTTTACCAATCCATTTTTCATTCACTGTGCCTTTCTGTTCTTCCAAGCAGCTACTGAAATAAGAGGTAACAAGGTGTAGAGCTGGATGAACACAGCAGGCCAAGCAGCATCAGAGGAGCAGGAAAGCTGACGTTTCGGGTCGAGACCCTTCTTCAGAAATGGGGGAGGGGAAGGGGATTCTGAAATAAATAGGGAGGAGGGGGGAGGCGGATAGAAGATGGAAAAAGGAGAAGATAGGTGGAGAGGAGACAGACAGATCAAAGAGGCGGGGTTGGAGCCAGTAAAGGGGATAGGTTGGTCCAGGGAGGACGGACAGGTCAAGGAGGCAGGATGAGGCTAGTGGGTAGGAGATGGGGGTGGGGCTTGAGTTGGGAGGAATGGTTAGGGAGGCGGGGATGTACTGGGCTGGTTTTGAGATGCGGTTGGGGGAGGGGAGATCTTGAAGCTTGTGAAGTCCACATTGATACCCTTGGGCTGCAGGGTTCCCAAGCGAAATATGAGATGCTGTTCCTGCAGCCTTCGGGTGGCATCATTGTGGCAATGCAGGAGGCCCAGGATGGACATGTCGTCCAAGGAGTGGGAGGGGGAGTTGAAATTGTTCACGACTGGAAGGTGTAGTTGTTTGTTGCGAACCGAGCGTAGGGGTTCTGCAAAGCGGTCCCCAAGCCTCTGCTTGGTTTCCCCGATGTAGAGGAGGCCACAACGGGAACAGCGGATACAGTACACCACATTAGCAGCTGTGCAGGTGAACATCTGTTTGATGTGGAAAGGCTCCTTAGGGCATGGGATAGGGGTGAGGGGGGAGGTGTAGGTGCAGGTGTAGCACTTGCTGTGGTTGCAGGGAAAAGAGCCGGGGGTGGTGGAGCTTTTGGGGAGTATGGAGCGGACAAGGGAGTCACGGAGAGAGTGGTCCCTCCGGAAAGCAGATAAGAGTGGGGAGGGAAAAATGTCTTTGGTCGTCGGGTCAGATTGCAGATGGCGGAAGTGTCAGAGGATGATGTGTTGGATCCGGAGGTTGGTGGGATGGTACGTGAGGACGAGGGGGATTCTGTTTTGGTTGTTATTGCGGGTAGGGGGTGTGAGGGATGAGTTGCGGGAAATGAGAGAGATACGGTCGAGGGCGTTTTTGACCACTGTGGAGGGGAAGTTGCGGTCCTTGAAAAATCAGGACATCTGGGATGTCTGGGAGTGGAATGCCTCATCTCGGGAGCAGATGCGGTGGAGACGAAGGAATTGGGAATAGGGGATGGCCTTTTTGCAGGAAGGTGGGTGAGAGGAGGTGTATTCTAGGTAGCTGTGGGAGTCGGTAGGCTTGAAATGGATATCGGTTTCCAGGTAGATGCCAGAGATGGAGACAGAGAGGTCCAGGAAGGAGAGCGAGGTATCCGAGATGGTCCAGGTGAACTTAAGGTTGGGGTGGAAGGTGTTAGTGAAGTGGATGAACTGTTCGAGCTCCTCGTGGAAGCACGAGGCGGCGCCGATACAGTCAAATTGCTTTGTTTATAGCCAGTCCAGCTTCTATGTTTTCTAAGCTGGACAGCTGCAGGCAACCTTTCATGTCCAATCGTGTGGCTTATTTTCAAGTGTAAATTAAAACAAAATGTGAGTTTCCTGAAAGAGTATCCAGAAGATGATCTGCACCAGTGTAACATTTCCAGTTAAGACACCAGCTGTCCCTGTGTCTCCTTCAGCTGGAGTGATGTAGTGATATGCAGCCATTACTAGCTCAGTCGTGGAATTATAGAATAGTAACTCCATAAAAAGAGGCCATTCAACCTGTTGTATCCTTGCTGGCACACTGGAGCTGGTCACCTGGTCCCATTCCCCTCTGCAGCCCTCCTGTGCTCGTTTTGCTTAAATTATTCCACATTTGCTTAAGTGACTTAACTTATTTTTCTCAATTATTGTTTCTACATTTTTTTCCATTTCTAAGATTAAACTGACTGTGATTGCGGGACTTCAAAATTAAGGAGATTGCTTGAACTCTTGTCTTTTTTTAGAGCGCTGCCAATCTATGACATTGCAGGATATGGTGTATTGGAGTACTGTCATATTTTACAAGCTATTGAAATCTGTTTTTTTTTTCTGTTGCAGATTACTCCTCTGCTGTGATGAAATTTTCACAAAGCCTGAATGTATTTCAGTTTGAATTCATTGGAGATACATTGACTGACGACGAAATCAACATTGGTAAGGAACTGAAATGACTTTTTTTTTTTCCCCCCCAGCTGTAGGATATAATGGTGAAGAAGGCAAAGAAGTCCATTTAAATAATGATCCAGCTGTTCAGTTGTTTTTCTTTGTCAGTAAAACACTTTTGACTGGAAGATTGTGGTGATGCAGCTGGGCAGAGTTGTTGAGTCCAGCTAACTTGACTGCAAGAAGGCTGCTAAAAGGGCCTGTTGTCTCTGGTTGCTTGAATCATCTGTCTCCTTTCTTCAGCTAATATTAATTTACTTATGTTTGGGTTAAAGGAAAATGCAATTTACTTGAAGTAGAACTGTGCAGGGGGTAAGATGGTGTCTTGTTGTGAACCAAGTAATCGCATCATAGAGAGTAGTTTGAGAAGAGGATGAACTATCTTGATTTACTTGACTGGTGGTTTCTTCTGGCAATCAAACAAACCCAGCCTATCCAGTCTTTCCTCATAATTGAAACTTTTCATCCCAGGCAATATCCTGATGAATGTCCTCTGCACCCTCTCCAGTGCAATCACACCCTTCCAATTAGTGTGGTGACCAGAACTGCACACAGTACTCCATCTGTGGCCTAACCACTGCTTTATGAAGTTGTAACAAGACTTCCTTGCTCCTATATTCTATGTCTGGCTAGTGAAGGCAAGCATCCCATATGCTGCCTTCACCACTTCATGTGAGTTGCAAAGAATGGACTGAATTACATTACATTTTTATTTTCAGCATTTTGCATTAGCAAGTGAGCTGGATGTTCGCAGTATACTACAGGTCAGGTATCCGTACATCCTGAAACTGAAAAGATCTAAAAACCAAAGGTCTTTTCAAAAGTGGACCGGAACAGATCTGAGGATATGTTCAGTTTGGACCTTTTTTGGGGGATAGAAAAGATTTCTCTTGGCCTAAATGCACCTAAAAGTGGTGTATTTTTCTAATGACCTGAACTCAGCATGTCTATATGTCCATTTGGGCTCTTTGGAAAAAAAAACTTTGCTTTTGGGTCTATTTGTTTTGGTTGTGAGATGATTGGTTAAAAAAAAGTCTTAAAGGGTAAGGTTAATGTATCCTTCATCCGACAAACAGTTGGTCCTTCACCAAGAATCAGCTACTAGAAAGTACGTGAGGAGTTGAACAACGATTTGCTGAGTAACTGTCCCTCTTAGTAGGAAGTTAGCTGGTCCCATCAGTAACCCAAGTCCTAAGAACTAGGAGGAGTAGACAATTCAACCTCTCAAGCCTGCTCCACCATTTGATACGATCATGGCTGATCACATCTCCACTTCAACTCCACTTTCCTGCCTGTTCTCCATAATCCTTCAATGCATTAGTAATAAAAAATCTGTCTACCTCCTCCCTAAATTTACTCAATGTCCCAGCATTCACTGCACTCTGGGATAGTAAATTCCACAGATTCATGATCCCTCGGTTTAATTTCTTCTCATCTGTTTTAAATCTGCCGTCCCTTATCTTAAGACCTGTGATCTCTCGTTCTAGACTGCCCCATGTGAGGAAACATCCTCTCTATGTCTACTTTGTCAATTCCCTTTTAGCATCTTGCATACCTCAATTAACTCTCCTCTTATTCTTCTAAATTCTGAAGGGTATAGGCCTAAAACTGCTCAATCTCTCTTCATAAGACAAACCCTTCATCTCTGGAATTAATCATGAACTTCCTCTGAACCGCCTCCAATGCAACTACATACCTCCTCAAGAAAAGGGACCAAAATTGTCTGCATTACTGTAGGTTCCATCTCATTCCCTACTTTTATACTCTCTTCCTTTTGCAATAAATGCCAAAATTCCATTTGCCTTCCTTATTACATACTATACTGCAAACAAGTTTTCTGTGATTTATGCATGAGACTACTTAGATCGCTCTGCACTGAAGCACTCTGAACTTTGCTTACATTTAGATAATAAATTGCCATTCTATTCCTCCAACCAAGATGGGCCATTGCTTAATATGTCTCTATTAGTATGGCTCCCTTGTTGATTTCAGTGTGGGTAATGAACTGAAGCTAGGACCCTTATTTGTAGAACCAAAAATTGATGGAGCACCACTATAAGGTTTTTTTTAAAATACAGGTTACTGTTGTTGTGGTGGATTAAATTATAATGGATTTGGACAGGTTCCCAGGTAATAAGTATAACCAAGTGATCGGTTAAGTCTGATGAATCGCAATACAATTTTGTTAAGAACAGGTTCTTAATCATTAACTTAAATTTTAACTTCTGGCTTTCAAAAGTAAATAACAATTGAATGCAGTGTTTCTTGGTCAAGGGAAGATATTGTTTTAGTGGTGATTGCATATGGACTATGCATACGTTTGGGTGCATTGTTCAAAGTTCTGTTTGGAAACAGAATAAAGGATTAATATGTTTATCTTCAGAAATGAATGGAAAGCATGCAAGTTTAATCTAAATGGGTTTTGGCAAGTGTGATTTGAAGACTGCAAGCTTGTTTCACTGTATAACTACAACACTTGAATGTTATCGAATAGGAGCAAAGTTAATTTCAGCAGAACAAAGCTGAAAACCAAGCTCAAGTCGGTGGCTTTGTAACCAAAATATCAACTGTGCAAAGAAGGAAAGTATCTATAATCTAAAAAAAGTTTAAAGTATATTTTTAAATTATAGCTTTTGGTTTTCAGAATGGCTTTTGCTGCGTTCAGCATATAATTTTTAAAAATGAAATTTTTCTTTTGTGTTTTAAAATTCATTGACTATTCACAAATGTAAAATTCTTTAAAGTGCACGGTCCAAGTAGATTTTGATGGTGCATCTTATTATAGTACCATATAGTTTGCAAGGTCAGAGTTGTATGTAGATGCTGAGTGAACTTGGGTATGTTGTACAAACCCTAAGTGCTCTAAAATAGCATATAATTACAAAGTGATAATGATAAGTTGGGCAAAATTGAAATCCACTTTTCATAATATAGACAAATAAAGCAAGAGCGTCTGGCAAAATATACGACCGTTGGATGTCCTAAACCACAGTACTGCCAGTGCAGCACTTTTAAATTATAATTGCTCTTGTCATATAGGAAGCACATCAGCCATTTTGTGTGCAATGTGGTAATGACTAGATTGAGGGAAGGAAAGAAAGTAGGAAGGCTGGCAGTATTGATTTAAGGAGAACATTACAATGCTGGAGGGAGAGTTGATATCCCAAGGGAGGTTAAGGACAAAATCTGTTTGGTTAGAGTTGAGGAACCTTAGGAGTTCAAATATATTACTTGGTATATTCAATAACCAACCAGTGGGAAAGATTTTCAAGAAACTTAAGAGGTGTAAGAATTTTAATAATCCCAATTTAAACTGTAACAGTAATAGTGTAAGGGGCAGGGAAGGGCAAGCACGAGTGTGTTCAGGATGACATTCAATATCGGTTTGTTTCCAGCGAAATGTTGAAGGCGGGATCTTGCGTCATCGTGTTCGGGGAAGTGGGTTGATTTCAGCAGATCGAGCGTAGGAAGGAAACATTTGGGGGATGGCGATCATTGTATCGTCAGATGTAGGTTGCCTACACAAAAAGGCAAAAAATAACCATTCCAGTAGGATTAAAGGTAAGTAAAGTTGCCAAAGGAGTATAGGGCTGCACTCTCATTAGACAGAGATGGCTGGTAATGATTTAACCTGAGGGTCACTATGCTTCAGATGAGGTGACAAGTTGCAAAGGAGAATCCTTTATGGGATCCTCAACCAATGAGGAATTGAACCTGCTCTGTTGGTGACACTCTGCATTGCAAACTAGCCATCTAGCCAAATGAGCGAGCTAACCAACCCCCATGAGTAGGAATAACTAACTGAGGGAAAGCCAGCTTCAATGGGCTAAGTGTGGGTTCAGATATATTGGAAGGCAAAACTGAAACTGAACCTGGCTGCCTTTTAAAGAGGAGCTGTTGTTTGTTTGGGTACAGTCAAGGTACATACTGGAGGAAAGATGCAACACAAAAATCCAGAATGCCTTGGGTGGCAAAGCAGATAATAAAATGAAGCAGAAGAAGGTTTTATGTGACAGTTGTTATTTTGCGTGGAAAGCACAAGTGAGCATCAGGCTAAAGGTTCAGGGGTAATTGGGACAAGACAAAACCAAGAGAGAGTACGAGAAGAAGTTGACAGCTAAGACTAAAGGGAATATAAAATTCGTCTTTAGGGATATGAATTGTAAAGCGTAGTAAGAGGTGGAATGGAGCTAATTATAGATCTATAAGGGCATTTATGCGCGAAAGCAGGGGCACAACTGAGATGCAACAGGAGTACTGGGTGTTCGTCTGTTCTGAGGACTGAGTGTAATGTCCAAACCATAGTGAAGGATGAGGTAGTTGAGATGCTTGGGTTAAAAAATTAATCTAGATGATATTAAATACCTCAAGTACTGATAGCCTGATAATTCACCAGGATATGTTCAAGGGTGCTGAGGGCAGGAAGCGTGGAAATTAGAGGCACTGATCATAACCTTCCAATCCTCCTTAGCTATCACTTGGATAAATGTAGATTAATTAATGAAGCCTGTATGGATTTAAAGGCCAATTTGTATTTGACTAACATGATTGAGGTTTTTTTTTGGGTGAGGTTCCTGAGATGTTAAATGAGGGCAATACAGTTGTGTGGTAATAGACATCCAAAAGGTATTTATTGAATTGTCACATTGCAATGTTGTGACCAAAGTAAAAGGACAATGGAAACACAAATATCAAATTTGTTGCATGACAGGCGGCAGTGGTGATGAGTATTTGATTTTAGAATTGGAGAAAGGTTTTTTTAAAATAGTGCAGTTGCCCCAGTGGTTAGTTTAAGGACCCTCTGTTTTCCTGATGATATATCAATGACTCTGGCTTTGGTATACAGGGCACAATTTCAAAATTTGTGAATGACACAATTTGGAAGTAATTGTCAGCTGTCAGAAAGGTATTGTAGAACTTCTAAGGACATAAGCTGGCTGGTGCGATTCACGGACAAGTGGCAGGTAGAATTTAATGCAGAGAAGGGTGTA